GGTAAGGGTGCAGCCAATGTTGGTATTATTTGTTATCATTATCATATTAATTATGGCATTATTATTCCTCTTTCCATGTACTTTTTTATTGGGAAAACAAAGGTCCTAGTTAGATTGAAGAACCCCAAAAAAGGTTTTAAAAACAGACCAAGTACCTTTATTCAATCATTCTATAGATATTTATAGAGCTTCTGCAAGGTATACAGTCTAACCAACTCCCAGAATCTAATGGGTGACTTACTACTTGGAAGGAAGAGGGTAGCAGTGTGGAAGAATAAGTGAAGTATAAGTTAGTGGGACCAAACTAAGGTCCAACCCCTGAGGACAGTTAGTATAAATAAAAGGGGTTAGGTATAGAAGTGAACATCAATGTCATCGGGCAGCATTAAGTCTTAGAAAATCACATTAACCTTTAACGAGAAGAGAGCCCAAGCTTGGAGAACTTTCTTAGCCATGAATGGACCATATTTAACCTAGAATGCTAAAGAAAAATTCCCTATTGTAAATGAGCATAAATATCATCAGAGATGATTTGTTTTTCTTCGTCATCATAAAAAATCAAAAGATAGAAATCAGTTACCTTGGCAAGAATTATCAATCAAAAGTGAAATGGAAGTCTATTCAGAAATGGAAGTGTAGTACTGAGCTAAGGATGAAAATCATGCCTACGGAGGAACAGTAAGGATAATTTCCAAATGTACAGAGCAATAAAATGGGAAAGTAAAAGCAGCTCTTCAGATTAAAGCCCTATATCCCAGGTTGCTCAAGGCTGGTCTTACAGGGATTGAAGTCAGAAGTGGAAGAGCAGCAGTGAATGATCTGAAATTCCTCCAAATTCTTTGAAGTGTCATTATTTGCTGATTGCTTTCCACCAACTACATATCTGGTGTCCACAGACAATAGTTCACTATGAAATGCCAGAATCATCCTGCTAGAAATACATAAGACTCAGGAAACTGCATATGCATGGACTCAAAACGTCCTGTGGTTTTGTTGTTGATTTTGTTTTGCACTGGGCCAGAGACTGGGCAAGGGGGAGATACCTTGTGGAACTGTCAGAACTGTGAAGGCTATTTGCAAGCTAATACTTAAGTTATAATACTATCATACTTTTATGACAGTATGACATAAAAGTATGACAGGATGCTGGAAGAAGACATGACATAACAGGATCAGAGACAAATGACTTTATTACTCTCAGCAGTAGTGGTAGCCAGAAGTACCACTGGTTCCTGAAGTACCAAGTCCCATAGGGCAACACAAAGAGGGTCAGATAACTCCTGTACATACGTTATAGAGAGGGACCCTGAGCTTAGGGAACCTGAATCTTTTATACTAGACAGTAAGCATGCCTATGTTTTTCTCTGGAGGGATACAGTATCTTCATCGTCCAAGGCTGTTCACTCTACAAACATTCTTAAAATGATGGAAAGGAATAAAGTCAGTTAGTTCCTCTGCTAACAAGACATATAGAAATGAGACCCATTCTGAGAACTGTCTCTCAGTATGACCTTGACAGTAAAGCACTCATGTAGAACCTGGTTAAGTGCCTGGCATCCTGTTGGTGGACAGCTTAAGTAAGTGGATCTACAAAGCCCTTTCTGGTTCAGGATGTCATCTAATCTGGACAAACCACTACAGCACATTCCCAAGAACAGTCTCCTGAGCTTGCAAACCACATAGAGGTATTCATTTCATCTCTTTTAAGGTCAGTACAAATTTCTAAACCTTTTGTCTTGTACCATTTCCCAGAACAATTTGGGGATTCATACTGTAAAAGGCTTCTGCTACATGGAACATCTCTCTTCCACTATCACTAGAACAGTTTTTAAAAGCATAGTCTATACCTAGTTGTTTATGGTTGTCACAGTCCTACTTTATACTATAAAAACATTTTAATAATAATGTTCCCTGCATTCACTACCAGTCCACTCAAACCTCCTAAGTAAGAGTGTCAATACCAAGTAGTAAGAAAGGCACGAGTACTGGCTTTAATGCTTACTAGCTATTGCCTTGGGTGAGTCACTTCTTCCTCTACCTTAGTCTCCTCATTGTGAAATAGGGATATTAACACTCACTCTTTCTACCTCACACAATTTTTGAAAAAGTCACATGACATAGCACCTGTGAAAGCAATTTATAATCAAGAAAAAATCATCCCCTGAGAAACTGGGTCATCATAGTGCATTAACAGAGTTGTGGGGTGATCAGTCATTCGGAATTAGATTCATGTGTTATTGGGTGTCCAGAGGAAACCTCTTTGTCATGAAAATTTGGGGGTAGGTTGGGGTGAAAAGGGGAGGGGAGGGAGGAAACACAATGTTATTTCTAAGTCTGAAGCAAATGGCTTCATTTCCAGATACATAAAAAAGGCAAGGTTTTATAATACCAATTGTAGTTGAAAATCAGTACATAGGAAAAAGATAAAATATGCTGTCCACTTTTCACCCACATCTTCATAAATCTGCCTTCCATATTTTTATCCTTGCGAGGCACCAATAGGACTACGGTCAGAATATATATTATTTTCCCCCAACAGTGTCAGGTGGGTCTACAGGCGATACACAAAAGTCTCAAGAAAAATAGTTTAAAACCCATAAAAGATGCATGGCAGCTGGTGAAACAGTTCTCATGCTGCAAATTACAAAGATTTGGACCAAAAATTCTGCTCTCTGCCTAACTTTCCAGAAATGGAAAACCTTATAGACTGTTAATATAGTAGGAAGGCAAGGAGCATAAGCACTGAGCAGATCAAAAGTGGGAAGCAAAGCAAGCAGGAGAAGGTGGAGGGGGCAGGGATCTGCCAATGATGCAAATCATTTTGAAATGAAACCACAATAAGACTAAGAAAGAAGTAAAACATGGAAATATTAACTATTCTTATGACATTGTATTATTTCCTATAAGAAGAAAACTTGATCCAGATCATCCCTACTCCCCTGAATCTTGTTCTCTTTTTGGAAGTTGTCAAATTTTGGCAATGATATCATTTACAGAACACAGATTTTCCATTAAAATTAAAGTTAACAAAAGTATCTCTCAATTCCTTCAGTTCCCTTTAAAATCTCAAATGATCTGCATCAGCAATGGAATTAGATGTGCCCTAACTCTTATGTCCTAACTATGTTGGTTGCTCTCCAATGCCTTTAATGTCTTGTCTTACATAGTCTGTTGAGCTTTATAGTCATTGACTTCAGGAGGATTTGTTCAATACAAGTGACTCCATTATGGAAACTGAAGCTTTCAATACAAACTTTATTACACAGAATGCTCAGAGAATGAGGTGAGCTTTCAGATAGAAGCAAGCATAGACACATGGATCATGATATAGGCATCAAATACCCTCCTAAAGGTTGGTAGAGAGGTAAACATGGCTTGACACAATAGAATAAAGTTAGGCAGTGTTCACTGTACGGTGTTCACTGTGACAGAAACAGACTGATTTACTGTCGCAAACAAGGATAGGCACAATTGGACATCAACGTAGCAGACAATTAGGTAAGTGTTCGTGCTGGTTAGGTGATCCTCACCCCTGAACTCTTTTATGAACAAGGCTTCAAGATGACAAAGAATCCTGAAATGAGGCCTACCATAGCTGCATAGGTTTCTGGTACTCTAATTAATTTTCCCTGCTAAAGGAAGTCTCTTATTTTGTCTAGGTAATGGCTAATCAATCAAGTCCAATCATTGAGAGGAAATTGCTTTCACGGCTGAAAGCAATTTTGACTAAACAGTGACCGTTGCCATCAGTAACTGCATAGGGAGGCATATTTCTATCAAGACATCTACAATCCACCATACTGGCTAGAGCTAACAATGCATTTAAGAGAGATCACGGCAGCACTGAAAAGCCCTCCTCCAGAAAGTGAACTTCCACTTGATCCCACAATTTTTGAGTATTTTAAATTGGGACAGTGAATCTTTCATCTTCCTTGATAATATTAATTATTAAAGTAAATTTAATAATATATAACATTTGGGGGGCACTTATTATATACATCAACACTATTTAAATACTTTAAACAAATTATACTTCATTGAATTCTCACAACCACCCCATTTTCCAAAGCAATAGCTGAGACATAACTCTCACTCTCAATGAGGGGCAGAACCAGCTGCATCCAGGCCATCTGACTCCGAGCCCAGGTCTGGAACCACCAGGCCACATGCTGCACCAGCATCCACTGAGGGACATCAATATTGTGGGAATGAAAGAAACCAGGATGCTGTCCTAAGCTAGAATTCATTTTACTCTTTTCCATTTATTTTTATTTTCCCCAGAATATATTTCCCCATAGTAAATTAAATAAAATAGAATGAGGTACTAAGAAAAAAAACAAAGAGAGCTAGGGTCAAGAAACTTGCACTTACCAGTTATGTCACTAACTGGCTATGTGGCTTTAGGCAAGTCTTTAAATATATATTCTAAGTCTTAAGGGGAAAAAACAAAACAATTCTAATTTTACCTACATAAAAATTCATAAAGAAGTCATGTCAATTGTGTTATTAATGACCAAAAACGGTGTAATAATTTTATTTTTAAAGGGATAACTGCAAATAACAGTCATGCTTTAATTTCTATTATACTATCCTACACTGGGTTTAAAAAACTATTCTACAACAGTTTAAGAATGGTTTCCTTTGTTTCATGGGACTTTTCCTAAAGATAAATTGTCTGCATTTCCTATATGACTCTTCCTCATTACTCTGCAACTTTCTGAAGAGGAACCACAGTGAATAAACTCTAGAGAGGCCACATTCAGAAGATATGGTAATTAGCAAACATTGCTTAAAGTTTATTCATCTTATAGGACAGATGTTTTGCCTTTTGTTTTTATGGGGGGGGAAAACACCCTGAAATTAAAGCATATCTTTTTTTGCTATATTTATGTCAAATAAAAATCTAGTTTACAAATGGAAATACCCAATGGTAAGATATGATCAATATGTGATCATGAGTTTGAATTTTCACAGGTATTGCTCCTCTCATTCTTTCTTACCTCTTTCATAGCAGGAAGTCAGGCTCTTTCAGTCACTCCTTCATCCTGCTTCCTGAAACCAAAGAACACGGTGTTATTTTCATGACAAGCTAAAAAGAAAACTCCTGTTTCTAAATTTGGTAGCTGTGCATTCAAAGTGGCATTACATTTCCCTTCACATTTGCATGTAATCCCAACTCACTGTAATAATCATAAACCTAAGAGGGTAAAAGCAGATATCGGTAATATTTTCAACAATAAAGATAAAGAAACTTTAAAAAAAGAAATAAAATAAATAAATAAATAGAAGGTGCAGATGCAAAAACATAAAAAATAAAATAAATAAATCTAAGAGGGTGATTTTTTTTTTTCTTTTTAAGAATCACATACACATTCATGTAGTCATTTATCTATCAATAGTTAAGCATTTAAACTCTACAGAAAGCAGTATGCTTTGTTCTTAATAAACCATATTATCTAACATATATTGATAGTCCTCTTTACTTTATAAAAGGTGATGCGGTATCTGGAAAAACCTATGGAATTGGGGAGTTAGAGAGGCCGGTGGGAATCTTGGCTTTGCCACTTATTGGCTCCAACACAGACATAATAAATAGCTTCCTGCCACCCCCTCTCCCTTATCTGTAAAAAGAGAGTAAATTTCATAAACTTGCAGGGTTGGGTAAGGATCTGCATTAACCTACGAAATCAGTCCAGCATAGGTCCTCAATAAATGGCAGCCACTATTGCTATTAGTAACACAGGTGAGGGTCTCCCTAGTGGACTGTAGAGAGACCTGCGCTGTGGCAACTCCCCTCTTCCTCCAGAGCACATGGACGGCCACCGGGCCGCAGTGTGGATGAAGGAGCAGGACACCCCCACTCATCTGCTGCCGCCGTGCTCCGCACTGGCCTGGTGGGGTGCGTGGTGGGAACACTGGCGGTGGGGTCAGAGGAGCTCCCCTGGCCCGCTGCGGCACAGGCAAGACTGCACCGCCGAGACGTGCCTGTCGCTGTGCACTCGGAAGACCAGGGGCTTTATTTCCTCAATCAACCAGCACTTGAACTGAACGATCTCTAAGGTCCTGCTGCCCTGCTCTCACATTCAGTGCATACTGAAGGGGTTGCCTGTAACGTTTCAAGAGAAACACTAGATGCACAGTAAAACTGTGCCACAATAACAAATGAAGTTTATTAATGGTAATATACATTTCATCTCATATTTACATGACCATTTTATGACTTTTCATTGTTTATTTCTTGTTCAATCATCTTTTGTCTCCCAGCTATTATAATTCTGGTAGGGTATGGTTTTCTTTTTTTTTTCCCCAGTTAGTTTTCTGAACACAATATTTAAAAGCCAAATTTTCAGCTCAAAGCCAGATATCTGGCAACACCATCATCAAAGATTATTTCTGTTCCACAAACACTTACTCAACAAACTCTCATCAAGAGACATCTACAAACAAGGTCCTGGGCTTGGTGCTAGGGACATAAAGGTGAGTGACTCAGTTCCGCTCTCGTGCGTGGAGCTCTGTCTGGAAAGGAACACAGGCGAATCACCATACGGTTAGTCAAAGGACAAGCACCCAACCCAGTCTGGAATGCCAAAAAAGTAAGTGACATGTGAGCTGGGAGTTGAAGAATTACTAAGAGTTGGCCAGCCTATACAAAGGCATAAGGACACGAAACTCTTGCTAAAATCACCATTAGATGAAAAATCCTCACACTAGCACAGTGTTCAGTGAATGTACCCATTACTCAGTGACTGAATGAAAGAATCTGTCAGCTTGGCCATGTCTGTTCCTCAATTATATAAACACTTTTATATTTTACAGTTATTGAATGTCCACGGTGTATAAAACACCTGAGTAGCAGTCATGGAGAAGCATAGAAAGAAAAAATATATATAATCTCTGTCCTCGAGAAAGATGCATTACTTCAACAAATATTTATTATGCTTTCTTTTTTTTTCTATATGCCTGGCACTCTGCAATTTGCAGAGAAAAAACAACAACAATAGATACAGTTTATTAAAGCAAGAGGAGAGCAGAAGCCTAACGATTTCAGCATTACTAATTCTTAGTTTTGAGGCTCTCTTAATTTTACCCTATAAATCTACAAATGTCTCTTAGCAGTCTCTAAGCCCTGCCAACCATTATAAAGTGAAATATATATGTTCCGAAAGAACGGAGGACTAAAAATGTAAGTGATGTATTCAACATTAAAGTAAAAGAAAAAACTTGGGATCCTGGCTCCTACACTGCAGTCACTTCCCTGAACTTTCCAATTCATCCCCGTGTGGCCTGGATCAAAGCAGCCCATCCATCCACTCTCTTCCCTGCTCTGCCACAGCATTCGACGGTCAGGGCAGTTCAACACCACTGCTGAGGTCCAGGATGCTCTTGCTGCTCCCTCCTCTCTTCCTCCTCCTTCAGCCCCGTTTATGGCATAAAAAAGTCACACCAAGTTTTTCCGTATTGGTTACTTCTCTCTCCTCTTCACTCCCAAAGCACTTAGCGCTTTATCCCTCCATGACGACTGAATAACTTCCTACCAACGCCCTGACAACTGAGGGAGAGCTCTTGAGCCTCACAGCGTGTAGCTCTATGATAGTCTGTGCTTCGAAGTTCCTCAAAAGTCCTAACTCCAGGGGGATGAAATGTTACATCACCTGGATCCTCCAGAGTTTTCAGTGCCCTGAGGTTCCCAACTATGCGGATAGCTGGTTTAACTTTTAGTCCATATGCAACGTTCTTCTGCAGACAGATCACAGCCTCCTTGTAAGCAAGAGCTAGGTAGCTTTTACTATCCCGCTGTGGTTAGCACAATATTAGAAACAGAGCAAATGCTCAAAATATTTGTGAATTATTTATTTCATTGAGAGGGAGACAACAACAAATGACTGACTGACTTTTAAGTTTGGGGCATCTGAATAGATTTATTAGTCTGGAAGAGTTTCACACTCAGATCTTATGTTTAAGGTTAGGCAACTTTGACAACTGCATTATATTTTTTAAATTACATCAGCCAGTCAGTCAGTTATCAACTTTTCCTAAACACCTACTAAAGTTACTATCCAACTTTCTAGAGAATTATTTACTTTAATAAATCATTGGCTTGAATAACATAAACACTATATTCCCTAGTATTCTGAAAAACATAAACTTACCAGGTATGAATACATGAGCCTCAGAAATTTTATTTATATAACCAATAAGTACAAAATGCTTCCTATGAATTGATATGCATATGCTATAATATAAGTCACCATAGTTCCTAAGACCTTAGTAATTATGCAATTTTAGCTAAATATAGAATATTTATAGAATATTTTAAAATCCAAGCTAGTTCCCAAACTTTACATAAAGAATTCATTCAATGGTGGATTTGTTTGTACTTAATACTGTGAGAGGTTATTCACAAACACTCAACTTCCAAGAAATACCTTAAATTACTTAGAAACTTTTTTTAAAAGGTAACAATTTGCCAGTAAACTCCCCTATGATCTTTGATATCTTTGAACCAAAGGGATTTCTATGCCATCACCATTCCAAAATTTTAGAACTTGTAGAAAGCCTTTGCCCCCAGATGCCATAAAAATGTTATCATTTTCTATGTATTCCATTATGTTAAAAAGAAAAAAAGGCTCTCACAGTGGTGAAGTACGCATCAACTAAGACATTTTATAGTACAATATCCAGAAGCCATTAAAAAAAGAGTGGGGGGTCATATTAGCTCATGAAACTCACAAGCTTGATTTAGCACCAAGAACCCAGGTTTACTCTGTTTCTCAGTTCGATATTTCACTGAGGCTCCACATGCTGGTCTCCCAGCCACTACTGGTGCTCCCTTGTTGGTCCCAAAATGTTCATAACATCCCCAAGCCTCACATCCTCAGACAAGCTCCCACCTCCCTCCACTGCTTATTCAAGTAGCCTATCCTGATCACCTGGAGTTCTGAATCGCTGTGTGTGTGTGTGTGTGTGTGTGTGTGTGTGTGTGTGCATTCCAATATGTGGGTTCAATTAGACAGTAAAATAAGCTTGGCGGTCAAGGCCAATGTTTTTTTAAAAATGAAATGTAACAGTTTAAAATAGCAAAGGTATCACACACAATAACAATAAACATTGCTTCTATAAAATATTTGTTTCACTGTCTATTTGTACGTGTGTGTGCACATGCACTGGACCAAATGTAAAACAAGTTCCTACTACAGTCAAAGTTTATTTGGTACAAACACACCTTACAGCTCTTCCAATTGCTGAATGAGCAAGTTATAAAAGTGAGAAATAGCATGATAAAATTGTAAGATATTGAAACTGACGAGCCAAATAGGGGGTGAAAACAGGGAGAAAGGCAAGAATGGTTGGTGGTGAGAGGTAAGACTGGGGAAGACAGGAGCCTCACAAGGGCTTTATCTTAGGAACAAGGAAAACCCCCTGAAGGCTTTGAGTGAGCGAGTAAGCACCTTGCACCGATAGATTCTTCATGCAGCAGAGAAGGAAATAAATTGGAAAGGGCAAATCATGTAGGTCAGAAGACCAGTTAATCACAGGAACCTTTAAGCTTCTCTCTCCGGCTCCCCTCGGACTTTTGTTTACCTCACTTTCTCCAATGAGGCAGAGGAAATAACCACATGTGGGGCTATTAGTATTACAAAATTAGGTCGCAATTTTTGCAGCTATTAAATACAATTGCATTATTCAAAGAGATACATCATTTTCCACTTGCCCAGTCTATGCTTTGGAATTGTTTTGTCTGGCTATTGAATTTTGTAAGGTTAAATGTCCCCCATATGTATACATGGGCTCAGTACCATCCATGGTGTGAGGTTGTGTCACATTCCTGTATCCAAGCCATTCTGATCCTCTTTTTATATATATATTAGCACTTTCTCTCTCTCCTTTAGAGTTTTAATCGCAAAATTAGAAACTTACATTTTCTTCCCTCTCTTACAGCACCAATATTGCCCATGTGTGTTCTCTCTCTCTCTCTCATTCTCCATGTTGCACAGAGACATTTTCCAGGCACTGCTTTTGCAACAATCACAAAATTATTAAATCTAAGACTGAAGAACAGTGTAATTTATTATTTTATCATCAAGGTTTCTACCTGCTCATGGGCATTATTATAATCTGCTCAGATGTTTTAGATAAGGGATACTTAATTGGTATCAAATTCCTTTTCATCTTTCAAGAACTTACACTCCTCCCTGTGGCAATTTGATAACAAAAAACGCACAGCAAGAAACAAAATGGGACCGTTAAAAACAGAATCACAGCTCATAACTCATTCACATGTGACATAAGATAGGATGTGTCTTTCTAGAAAAGGGCTGTCAACAGAAACTGTCACAGCATTCTTTTCTTTCCGTGTAATCTGCATAATGCATGACCCAGAAACCTACTGGGCTAAAGGCTAATATTTGGCAATATGCTAAGGCAGAAATTTAGTGTCTGAAAGTATTTAGCGGTGAGCTAAAAGGAAAGTTTTATTTTACTTTAATGAACTCAGTTACTCTATGACACACATTGTGCTTGACTTGGGGTATTCAAACCTCACAAATTGTCACAGCAATATTATGGGGTGGGCGCTTTTAGTTTAGAGGAGCCAACTGAGACTTAGAAAGGAACATCAGAAAGGCTTAAACAGTTTGCTCAATGTTAGACGGTTAAAAAATGGCCAGATAATGAAACCAGGGAGAAGAAAAGACCTCTCCTGAAATAGTCAAAGAGTAATACAAAGCTCATCAAATTATATATTTAAATCAATTTTATATTGTGTTTATTAATAAATAGGACATTTAACATCAAAGTAACAAAAAGCTGGCCTAGCTCAATCCAAAATGGTGGCTAATTTTACGAAATGCTTTAGAATTAACCTAGAAATAATAAAATTTCAAAGTAGGGTATCGAATTAGAATTGTTGAAAATCTTGTTCAGTTAAATCTGAATCCAGATCTTAAAAATAAATGTAAATACCGAAAAGGTTTTATTTTAATGATCTATTGGTGTCTTTTTTCTTTTTCTTTCCCCCTTTGCTTTTCTAGCCTCGCTTGGTTGAATATTGAGCTGTCTGAAATAGTAAAACAGTAGTATTTCTCTACTTCCACCACTGCCAGGAAAAATAAGGAACCCCAAGCAAAGGGACCCTCAGCAGAGCTTCTCAGAAGGACGCCAGCTAATGTTCCTGTCAATCAAAGCATTTGGTCACCTGCCCTCACGTACACAGTCTAAGGCTTCCCCTAGTCCTTCGCACTTATTGTAGATCAAATGGCTTTCTGGATTGCTATTTCTGCTCAATATAAGGTCATTTTCCCTTCTTGGAAAGTTGGATGTGGTACATGAGAAACATAGGAGTCTGGAGTCCCTGAGCCCTCTCAAGATTAAGACCAGGCTTCAGAGAGTAAGAGGAGAACATCAGAGAGGCGTAAGTGGTACCACCACGCTGCGGGGCCCGCCCGGGTCAGCTCCTGCAGAAGCCGGCCAAGGAAAATCTGCTTGGCTGGTGAGAGGGGCCTGCCCATAAAGTAGTCCAAGCCAACAGGAGATCCATTTGGCTGTGGCAGTGCCCAGTCCTACTGCAAAGTAAAATTGGTTCAAAGTCTATCTGCAGCTGGACGGGAAGTTTGCTTACTTCCCTACAGAGCTGAAAGCAAGCAGTCAGAGTCTCAGGAAACAACCATATATGGGAACAGCAGGGCAAAATACACGAGTAAGAATCAACAGACAGCAATCAGAAAGGATTCGTGAAAGACTCACTCGGACAAAATCCGCTTTCACCATCTATATGTGAGAAATAGCTTAATGGTGAAATATTTCCAGACATTAGCAAGTCTAGGGTTAGATGAAACTTTATCCTAAAGTTGTGAACTTTCACACACATGCACGGATCAGTAAGAAAGCTCCCTCATTATAAACCTGCCGTTCCTAGACAACACTCTTCAGCTCTGCCATGTGTAGTTCTGACATAGATCTCATTCCATCAACAACATGAAACTAGTCATGATTCAACTCCAATCATTCCAAGGCGAAAGGAGAGAGGGGAACGCTGTAAGCGTGAAATGCAAACTGTATTCCATTTGAGGAAAGTGCATTTGCACTGATGATGAAGTTCATAAAACAGGCATTATGTCAATAGCAAGTGGGGACAAGGCTATTAAGGGACACTAGTGGGAAAAGGTCTATGCTTATGGTCGATATTGTTTCCATGCTGTTGGCCTCAGACTCTGCCATGGTTTTTATTCACAAGAGTAGCTTATCAGTGAAAGATGCAAGTACTTGAGGAGACTTTTATGATGCCTGTGGTTGGTCCCAGTTGCAGCCTAAACAAGGTCTCCCTGGGTTAGAGACTGAGCGTTT